CTTGTCGCCGCCATTGTTCTTGTCACCGCTATGCTTCAGTATCGCCGCTAATAGCAAGTCGGCGCTAATACGAGTACGTTGCCGCTAAAGGGGTCGCCACAAAAACTTTTTCATTTTTTTTGTTTATTTAATATGAAAGTTATAAAAAACAATATAATATTTATAAAATCTTTAACATTTAACCCATACACAACCAAAATCAAAATATTAGTCCATACAACATAAAATCTGTTACATTTAAACTATCTACAATCCAAAATATTAGTCCATACAACATAAAGTATTGTTCTAAACAACATTTCATAAAATACTAAAATTCCTACTCGTCGTCATTAGACTCATCATTTGCTTCATTATTTGGTGGTGACAATGAACGAAACCACTCTTCCAATGCCGCAGAACATGCCGGGTCCATCATGATATATCATTACAGCATTCTACTTTCCAAAAATTACCAAACTACAAAATATCAACATATCAAACCATAAGCGACATATCATTATATAGCATTCTACTTTCCAAAAATTACCAAACTACAAAATATCAACATATCAAACCATGACCGACATATCATTATAGCATTCTACTTTCCAAAAATTACCAAACTACAAAATATCAACATATCAAACCATAACCGACATATCATTATATAACATTCTACTTTCCAAAAATTACCAAACTACAAAATATCAACATATCAAACCATAACCGACATATCATTATAGCGTTCTACTTTCCAAAATTTACCAAACTACAAAATATCAACGTATCAAATCAATTACCTGTGATTGTGGTGGTTCTTGTGTCGACGGTTGTTCCTGATCGTACATGGACACAACGGTAGGAGGTTTACGCCCAATGCCTCTGATTTGTCCGCGTCGAACACCCAATATTTTTTTCAAAACATTTTCTTGTATCACTTGGTGTTAGACCGCTTGCTGAAGAAGAAGCTTGGGTTTGTTGATTGATCTCCTGAAGTAAAGCATTCTGTATTTTCAAAAAATGATAAACATCATAAAAATTAGATTACTAAATACCCTTGACGATATAAACACTTATATGAGAATACAAATTAGCCACTTACGTATTGTTGCTCGACTGTAGGACTATAAAACACCCCTTGGCGATTGGAATTAGCCTTACAGAATGCTTCGATTCGAGTGATATATTATTTAACATTAAAAATTAGATTGATTATATTTTAAATAAGCATTTAAATATATCATAACTTACTTCTTTGAAGCATGCATTGCTGTACGAGTTCGACCCCCTCTGTTTACAACTAGTTGTTTTGCGCGGACTTCTTTGTTTGACGCCGAACGCCTTAAAAATTTGGGAGATTGAAAATGTTCGACTGCCTTCGCCCAATTTTCATGTGACATACCCACGGGGGGATTGTTTAGTGCCATTGGGATATCTGTAGGCCCCCCAATTTCCATAAAATAAGAATGGGCTTTACTTTTTCGGCCTCTGTAAACTTTTGCAAGACTCGAATCAATGCTTCGCAACAATTGTGCACGCTCCGAATCCAAGTTAACCTTATCCAAATCAAATTTATTCTAAAAATACAAAAAAGTTAGTTAATTAAATAACAATCACAACTAAACTTAAAATATTATCCAAGTTACCTTTAAATGCACAACTGTCACATTCCTTAACGCGGGGCAAACATTGTCCCAACCAGATACGTTGAAAGGGACATTGTTCCACAAGTACCTCCCAATTTCATGAGTGAACCAATTGGCAGGCTTCCCGACAGGGGAGTATGTGATCTCCCTGTCGAAATCTAAATTCACGGGCTTTCCCTTGTTTGCCCGTATCCATTTGCCTAGCTCTATATTCTTTGACAAGCCCATTCTTTTCTTTGGAAGCTCGACTGAAAAAATAGAATTTAAAATATTAGTCACAATAACTTATAATAATTTAATGAAAATAGCTAATAAATATATCATAATAAACTTACCATCCTGTTCATGTTGCCAGCAACCAAAGCCTTCTGGAGGTTGTGGATCCCCAGCTCCATCACCTCCGTGACCAAGGCCCATAATATCGGCCATCATAACAAAGAATATCGCCCACGTAAACCTCATTTGTAGCCTGTAAAATTACAAGATGTACAATATAGAAATACAATATGAATAAAAGTTAGTTACACCCTGCAAAATTATAAGATATACAATATAGACAAACAACATAAATAAAAGCTAAACAAACAAATATGAATAAAAGTTAGACTTCAAATAAAGTTTCTATTACAAAAAAAATACATTTGATTTTTTTAATCATAATCTCCATCATATACTTCAATGTCTTCTTGATCGGTATCATAATCAGAATCGTCATCATCATAATCAGTCTCTTCATCGGAAACATTATCGACTCTACCAGTTAGCGGAGGTACTTCAGTATCGTCCTCATCATCATAATCAACATTGTTTTGAGCTACATCAACATTGTTTTGAAAGTATTGTGAGAAGTCGATAAAAAGCCTAGCTTCAGATGAAGAGTTGCTTTGAACTACATCATCATTTTTGGCCTCCACATTGTCGACATTTTGGACAGAGTCACTGTAAGCATTTTGGACACAAGCATTGTCAGATGGTAGATCCCAAGTACTTCGATGATTAACATGCTCGACGACACAACGAGGGTTGTTGTTTTGGTTTCTTCGATGATTAACAGGCTCGCGGATGTAGAACACTTGTTTGGCTTGTGAAGCATATATGAGTTGATCATCTTGGTACGCTTCGTGTTCTGTGTTGATAATTATGAAATTATCATCACGAATATCTCCTGTATCGAACCACTTGCACCGAAATATTACAGTCGAATAATCATATGGATATTGCACCTCCATAATCTCTTCTAACTTGCCATAATATTTCTCTCCATTCTCGCCCACCGCTAGAACCCCAGAGTTTTGCGTTTTTGCGTTGTGCATAACGACTAAGTACCATAAACCTAACACCGTTGACTATGCACGCGGTGTAAGTATAAACATCCATTTGTGAACCCATTGAAAGGGCCGACAACTCTTTGTGGAATTCTGGAGAGTTTTCTTTTTCCATCTGACAAACCTATTAAACATATGTTGATGTGTTATGTATTCTTGATTCGTTATATTGATCAAATATATTTGTTTGTTAATTATTATTACCTATTCCAGAAACCAGTTGGGAAATTCGGTCTTTTCGTCACTTTCAGGATGTTCAGATTTGGATTTTCTATATAGATCAAATATATGTAATTGATGATTGGAAAAGAGTAACAATAAATAATGAAAGATAATTGAAAATAAGAACACTTACTCGATGTATTGTCTGACTTGTTGACAACTATTCAATATAAACCATTCTATATTACGTTTTTCCCTTATATCAAGATGTTTGATTTGCGTTGCGCTGGCCGGTCGACACTTGGACTCAAACATCCAAAACTTTGTTTTTTCAATGACAACGTCATCGTTTCTTTCAAAACGATTGAATTTTAGTCTTCACATCTCGAAGGTACATCGAACAAAATGACAAAACTTCTTCAGCAATATAACCTTCAGCTATACAACCTTCCGGCCTCGCCTTATTTCTGACATAGTTTTTTAGTTTTTTCATATAGCTTTCGAACAAATACATCCATCTCATACATACCGGGCCTCCGGCAATCGCTTCATCAGGTAAATGCAAAAGTAAATGAATCATAATGTCAAACAACGCTGGAGGATAAATCAACTCTAACTTGCACAAGATTCTAATAATGACTTCTTTTGCTTTCCTCATATCCTCCACCTTTAGTGTTGTAGAGCAAATTTGCTTGAAAAACATACAAAGATCTACAATTGGTGTAGAAGTTTCTTTGTCCAATAACGTTCTAACTCCAATCGGTATCAAAAGTTGCATAAGAATATGATAGTCATGTGATTTCAACCCAATAATGTTAGTATCATTATCTACCACTTTCTTACTAATGTTATATCCAAACCCATCTGGCAATTTAACATCTCTTATAAATTGACAAAAGATTTTGCGGTCAGGTTTCTTGAATGAGTAGCTTGCATGTGGTCTAGTGAACTTGTTACCTTTTTTTTTGCAACCATTGATTACGTCGGATATTCAGATTTCTCAAGTACTCACGTGCATTTGATGTGTCTTTACTCTTATCATTCATCATAGAAGTACCCAAAAGACTCTCACCCACATTTTTCTCGACATGCATCAGATCAAAGTTGTGCTTAAGCTGCAGAGAAGACCGATACTCGAACTCGAAAAATATGGTACGTTTCGACCGGTTCAACTCGAATACTTGCCGATCCATGTTTTCCTTGAGAGTCTTAGGATGCTACATCGGATATTCAAAATTTGACATTTAAGGTCAAATTCTTTCCTATTTTCTGAAAAAACATATATAATCCCACAAAATGCATAAACACCTACATTCCTCAAATCCAAACATAATCACTCAACAAAATTGAAGAATACTACCAATTTATCACCCAAAATAGCACCAAAACAGAAAAATAAGAGAAAATAGGAAAGAATTCGACCTTAAATGTTAAAATTTCGGAATTGGAGTGTAGGCGCCGCTAATCGATCTCCAAGTCGCCGATAATGGAGGATTGAGGGGCGGAGTGGCGGTCTAGTGGCGGTGGCTGGGGAAGAAGGTCACCAAAATGCGCCTTTGGTCGCAGGAGCTGAGTAGCAGTCACGAGCGAAATAGAAAAAGAAGCAGATGGGGGGTTATCTGTAAAGACCTTTAGCGGCGACGGGAAATAGCGGCGACGCTTGAGTATTGGCGGCGAAAAGGGTCTATTAGCGGCGACACATGGAGGGAAAAATATGCGCGTTTTTTACGACCCTTGGATTAAAATGAAATCGGACGGATAGGGCTCATTTGACGCAGATCGCCATTAGGTAGCCATTAGCGGCGACACAGGGTATTAGCGGCGACATATAATGCGTCCATTACATGTCGCCGCTAATACCCTGTATCGCCGCTAAAGGCGTCGCCGCTAATGCCCCCATTTCTTGTAGTGTATGCTTATTGCTTGCTACCTCATTCAACTCTTCCATTGAACTTCCCATTGTAGATGCTCTTACGGATAATATTCGTGGATCCGCCACTAGGTATAGGACAATCTAACATCCTATCTTTATCTTTGCTCATAAGTTAAGAGTAATACATGACTTCATTTCTTGTGAGGAAAATGGGCTTCCAGGAACATATTACATTTGATGAGCTTGTTGAGGTGTGCGAAATATACTAACTTCAAAATGTAGAAGCATATACAACAAGACAAAGAAACGAGAGAGAAGAATAATCTTTGCATTGCGTTACATTTGATGACTATTATGGAACATGCACAACGATGGGGCTCCTCACTTGATGCACACCATCGATTTCATACCAAGTCAATTCACCAGAAACAATTGGGCTGTCTAACTTCTGTATGGTGGTCTGTACACTCATCTTAAAAGACAGCTTTTGCCCAATTTTTTTGAACTGTAGGATATTCGGCTCAATCTGTATGCCCAAATCGCCAACACGTGGGGGAGTTATTGAGGCTCTATACCTTGATTTTGCAGAGCCGACATTCGTGACTGTCCGACTGAAAGTTATATTAACAGCTTTGTTACGCAGGGTTGAGATGACAAATGCAGGATAGTTTAGATCATTGGGTTGTTTGTCCTTAGAACAGCTACTACTATTAACCCCAGTGATAATTCTGATATCTTTGATGTTGTAGCCTTCATGGCACAAAAAGTTTACATAATCGACATCAACAGCATCGTATACCAGCCCAGGTTTCATAGCTGCCAATGGATTTAGATAGCCGGCTCCATATGCAAATTCAACATCCACCTCCCCACTCATAACGGAAGCTGCAAGATTTATTATAATTGTTAGATATGTGAAGTCCTATATCTTCTCTGTAAATTCAGTATATGTTATACCTGTTGTCATGAGAGCCGACTTAATGGCTGCTGGAGACCATTTCGGATTAAATGTTTTGATATAAGCAGCAATACCACTGACGTGTGGGCATGCCATTGATGTCCCTGATAACATATTGAATGGTACTGCTCTGTGGTCTCCTTCTGCTTGACTAATTCGAGCTACAGGTGACCATGCTGCTAGAATTCTCACCCCAGGAGCTGTTAAATCTGGCTACACGAATCAAAAAAGTTCAGTTATTAGTGTTGATGTGTAACGCATGATTCTAAGCATGTATGTGTTCAAACTGAAACTTGAGATAATTACCTTGAGGATGTTTTTATTTGTCGGATTTGGACCTCTTGACGAGAAAGATGCAACATATGGGGTTGACACATTGTTGACATCTTCACTCTTCATTATTACTGCTGTTGCATTTCTGAAACAATTTCAAGTTCATTAATTTCTGTAAATGAATTCAGCGGACTAGAAATATACAAGTAAACAAGTGGGTTTTTTTACTCTGTTGATTCTAAGTAGTCAGCGATAATTGACGCTTGATAGGAGTTAACAATACTAGCAGGCAAAGGATAAGAACCAATGGCTTCAAAATACGGTCCAGGATATATCACATATAATTATTTTTCCTTTCACTAAATTCTTGTCCAACGAATTTTTGATGCAAAACCTGATATATATGAATACAAATTCCACGATACACCATCAAGGAAACATAAAGATCCAGGGACAAACGAAACTGAAGCACACAAATGGAAGATAAACTCTTCATTAGTATATTAAAACATAAATTCCCTGGAGATTGTTATTTAAGGAAAATCCATCTTTACCTCGATGTTGAGCCACTGAAACCACCGGTGATATTTGGAACGTCTCCGGCATAAATTAGAGGATACATTCCTTTAAGTTTAAAGGGATTTACTGAAACTCCCTGAGATAAGAATCAATTAGCATAAAAATAATTTAATTTTCCGTAAATTACGTTTCATCATGATCACAAATCAACAAGTTTTATGTAGGTTTAAAGTCGGATATTACTCACATTAACAGCTATACCGTTTCCTAGTCGTACAGGGGTGATTAAATCTGGGTTTTTAGATCCAGCAGCCACAGAAAGAATCCATGGAGCGATACTGCCAATGGTTTGTGGCATTGGGCCTTCGTTCATAGCAGATTGTACAGTCAATATTTGTTTCCTCATGGCATGAAAGGAACCGATAGCGAAAGCGTCTTTAAAAAGCTCTTCCGCATGCACTAAGCCTACGGAGACAGTGATTAAGTCAACACCATCAGCGATGGCTGCTTCAAAAGCAGAAAGAATGTCGACATCTGAACACCCGTTTGACCAACAAACTTTATATACTGCGATTCTGGCCCTGGGTACGCCCCCTCTAGCTGTTCCTGGGTCGAGGCCAAGCAGATTTGCATTTGTTACAATGTTTCCGGCGGCTGTAGATGCTGTGTGGGTTCCATGACCATCGGAATCTCTTGGTGATTTGAGGTCAGTAGCGCCGTATATTCCATCTGCCTTGAAGTATCGAGCTCCAATGATTTTGCTGGTTATGTTATAAGAAAGAAGTCATAAACTTGTGCTAAGGAATAATCAAGAATAATCTCACACACATAAAGACACAATACTTAATGTGATTGGGTCAAAGTGATCTACTTCTACAAAGCATTAGAAAGTATTCATATTCACATGCTTGAAACCATAAGTATAGTACAACTGAGACCCTAGCTATTAGTGGTTATATATACAAAAAGTATAGTATAAACCCTATATTTAGTTGAAAATCAGTGTGAGGTTATTTTTAGTCTTCAATTTTCAAGTCACATTTAACAACTTGCAACTCTCCTTTGATGAAAAAAATATATGTTTTCTGGCGAGTTTTATAGTTCGAAAGATCCAAAGCAGCAAACAAAAGTAAATAAACGAGTGATACATTTATTAGGAAATGATTTATTACTTGTTGCATGAGAAATTGGCGTCACACATGCCCTTCCATTTAGCAGGAGGAGGACCATATCCTAGACCAGTGAAACTGGGTGATTCCGGCCAAATTCCCGTGTCAAAAACCCCAATGATGATATCACTTTCCATTGTTGATCTATTGACTTTAAGTGGAAACCCTATGAAGTCCCATGAACTAGTTGTTGCCAGCTTGTTCTTTTTGCTGAGAAACACAGAAACAACCCCCTCCATAGCTATATATAAACATATCAAACATCGAAACCCAAAATACCATATATATGATCTTTTGCATGTTTTATACTAATACAGAGATATATTGCATACCTGACAGTTTTTTAACCTCCTCTTGGGTAAGTCTTGCAGAAAATCCATGAAAGCTGTTTGTGTATCTTTGAAGCATATGGTTCTCCGCATCCCTGCCATAGTAACATCAAAATCATTAAACTGGTTTCCATTTAACCTTATCTTTTATGGAGCCAACAAGTTTATAGAAAACGAAAAACCACTAGCAAGAAGCAGGACAAAGGCAAAACCCTGAGTTCAAGGAAATAGACGTAGAACAGAGGAAAAGTTAGCTCCTAAACATGACAACCAAACTACGAAAATGAAATTGGGAAGTTGGAAGGAAAAAGGAGGTCTTTGTCGATTTAATTGTAGTTAAAGATTCGGCACCACTAACTTAAGAAACATCAAGTGTAGCATATTTTGTGTGCATGTATATTGAATATAGAGACTAAGATGAGGTAGGAGACCTGCCAATTACTTCTTGTAGCATAGTCAAGTGAAGGGAGGAGGCAGAGGCATCATCAAGAGTGTTGTGGCCCATATAGACCACGTATACCTGCTTAAAACCAGTTACATCAACTTAGATTAATCTAACTACAGGAAACATTAAACATAACACGACCAATACCCAGTCAATGCCATTTAATAATTGAAATTGCATTGACTAATGGCAACATCTATTATGCCTCAGAAAGATTGAATACTAGCAAGTACCTTTCGGTCCTCTTCGGATTTAGATTGAATTGATTTAGGCAGAAGGAACAGAAGGAAGCATAGGTGTAAAACTAGAGTGAGTTGTTTAGCCATTAAAGGTATAAGTTGGTTTGTAGATTTGAATTCATATATAGAAGTGTATTTATATACAACGTTGTCTTGTTTTTCATTGATAAATTTAGTAAAGGTCACTGAGTTCGAATAAATAACATTCATATAGTGTCCAATATGCCTTTTCCCGGCCCTACTAAATGAACATCCTATGGCATCTAAGACTAATGGACAACCATCGATCCAATTCATCCATCCACTTGAATCACTTTTAATTTCAACTTTTGATTAAATTATTATGATTATGATTATTATTATTAAAATGAAAATAAATAGAATAATATTCAATCAAAAGTAATAATAAATATATATATATATATATATATATATATATATATATATATATATATATATATAAAAGAATTAAATAAAGCTCCTTTTTTTAAAAAAAGAACTAGTTAGTGGTTAAAAATTTGTATCACTAATTTAATAGAAAATTCCCAACATCCGGATTAGATACCGGGACCTTCAATCTAAAGGACAAATCCTCTACCAAATCGGTTGGTCCTACATTGACAAATATGTATATCAATTAATTAAAAGTTGGAGAAAATGATTAAGTACAATGGAAAAAGTAACCTTTAATGAATAAACTTTACAATTTTAATAAAATCAATCATTAATATCTACAACTTATACATTTAAAAAAAAAAAAATCGGGTAATGGTCTTTTATTGAAATTCTGAAGAGATTATTATTAATACCCCTTGCAAAGTGGTAGAGGGTGGAAAGAATGGTGCTACTGCCCGAAAAGATAGGGAAAATATAAAGAATACAATTATACAGGAGTCAATCCCTTCGAAGGGCAATTTAACCAGTTTGACCGGTCAACTTTGGCTCCTCTACACCTGTGTGAGTGATCCATTCAAATGATTGAGAGCAATGGAATCAAAGACCTCAGCTGATTTGGCTTGGTGAAGCTAGCTAAGAACGTGGGCATTCCTGATTCCTGAAACCTCCAAATTATGACACTACATGAATCTACAGATAATCGTGTCCAACATTGAGAAGCAGATTTTTGTCATCAAAGACCCCAGCTGATTTCGTTGGAATTGAATGTTGAGATTTGAATGAATATTAGTAGTTTGCATCGTCGTAAATCAAGTTTTATGAATTTCATCTATGTTTTGCATATATTTTACTGTCACCTAAGCAAAAAGCTACTCCATCACTTGTCATCTGAACAGGACAATCCATAATATCTTAAGAACAAAAATAAGGTAAAGTTCTAACCTCTTCATAGATCCAAACCAAATTAGAAAGAAAGTTTTTGTGGTTATCAGGAACTGCTTTCATCAAATATGTACAAACCAATCACAACTTAATCATAAAGTTGCCATATAATTCATAATATAACCCTAAAAAGAAACCAAAAGTGAAATACATACCAGAAGATCCATGAGGAACACCATAAGATTCAAATGTAGTTCCAGCATCATAAATCGAACCCTTATACTCTGTTCATTTAGCAGTAATCTTCCCAGCCCATCTCCTCCCTTGCAAATGCATCTTCTCATACAATCATCTTTATACTCAGTTCCTTTAGCAATATTGATTCCTATAACTGGTTATGTACTTTTGATATATTGCATCCAATAACCATTTATGTACACTTGTCACAATGGGCCCTGAGCTTCTAAAGACACGATTATGAGACCCAACTTGTATTCATATATTTTTGGTCCATCTGTTATAACTTTGTGTTTACAATGGTGTTTCTTTAGTTTGTTTCAAATGAAAATGACATCAATTTCAAAAGTCATTTCTTGTTTTGATGTGTTGGCTCATTTTACCAACAAAATTCAAAATCTCTTCTTTTTGGCCAATTTATTTGGTTTTCGTAGAAGGAGAACATTCTTTATGGAAAGATGTTTTAAAGGCCTACAGAGAAACCATTCGTGCTTTTTTGGCTTATTTTCAAAACCAGATTCCTTTCTTCATTAATGTGTATTTATTATTGTTCATTCACAAATCTTAGTATTCTGAAACAAGTTAGTAATTAGTAGTGTTCTTCTTTTCTTGCAGATTCGTTGAAGAACAAATGAGTCATTTTGTTTTAGCAATGGAAGGTATGTGTAAATGTTATCTTTTTCATTCCAATGGATTGAATGGAATGGAATGAATGATTCCATTCCTTCCTCATTTCCATCATACCATGTTGACAATGGTGAAACGAGAGAAAAGTTGAAGAGGGAAAATTGGTTCTTTATTATTGAATGACTACTTACAAATGAAGCTAAATTGAAACTATATACAGGAGAAACAACTGATTAACCCTCTAACAAACTGCTAACTAACATCACGTGAGAGACACATGATTTTATTTAACATAATTAACTAGTAATTAACTATTAATTCTAACACCCCCCCTCAAGTTGGAGGGTGAATAACACCCAACTTGTTCAAAAGAAATTTATGTTGCTTAGTAGGTATATTTTTAGTAAAAAAATCTGCAAGTTGAGAATGCGTTGGAACATGTTGTAACGAGATCAGACCATCTTGAAGTTTGTCTCTGACGAAGTGACAATCTATCTCCACGTGTTTCGTTCTTTTGTGGAAGACAGGGTTTTTAGCTATGTGGAAGGCTGCTTGGCTGTCACAATGAACAGGTACAGGTGTCAAATTCGGAACAGTCATTTCATGAAGAAGGCGAGTGAGCCATTCAAGCTCGGCAGTAACTCGCCGCATGCTTCGGTATTCGGCCTCTGCTGAAGACAAAGAAACAGTCACCTGTTTCTTAGATTTCCAGGCAATTGGACAATTACCCAATAAGATAATAAATCCACTCACACTTCTTCTGGTTTGGGGACATGAAGCCCAATCTGAATCGCAATAAGCATTGAGGGTAAAATCGTCCCCATTATTAATTAATAATCCTTGATTTGGATCATTGTTAAGATACTTTAGAACATGTAAAGCTGCATGATAGTGAGGCATTCTGGGATCAGACATGAACTGGCTGAGAAGTTGAACTGCAAATGCAAGATCTGGTCTTGTATGCACTAGAAAGTTTAATTTTCCCACTAATTTTCTATAAACTTCTGGAGAATCCATATGGTCACCTTGACCTTGCAAAAGCTTCAAATTTGTAGGTAATGGACAAGAGGCATGGCCAGTGCAGTCAAATTCTTTGAGCATTTTCGTAGCAAACTTTCTTTGAGTGAGAATGACTCCTGATGAATTATACAAAACTTCAATTCCCAAAAAAAAATTCAAGGATCCAAGATCTTTGATTTTGAAAGTATTATCAAGAAATGTCTTCAATTTTGTGATTTCTTCTTCATTATTTCCAGTAACCATTATGTCATCCACATAGACTGCTACAAATGTTACATAGGATCCCATATTCTTGTGAAAAAGAGAATAGTCATTCTTTGAATTTTGATATCCCATTTGTTTTAAGGCTGAAGAAAGTTTAGCATACCATTGCCTTGAAGCTTGTTTGAGCCCATAAAGTGATTTCTGTAATTTACATACTTGATTTGGTTTGCAGCCCTTCAAACCAGGTGGTGGCTTCATGTATATTTCTTCATGCAAGTCACCATGCAAAAAAGCATTATTAACATCTAATTGATGCATATGCCATCCTTTCTTGACTGTAGTTGCAATAAGAGCTCTAATAGTTGTCATTTTGACAACAGGTGAGAAGGTTTCAGTGTAATCTATGCCAGCTTTTTGAGTGAAACCTTTGACAACCAGCCTTCCTTTACATCTTTCAACATCGCCATTTGCCTTATATTTGATCTTGTATACCCACTTACAACTTATGGGCTTTTTACCCTTTGGGAGATCAACAATAGCCCAAGTATTATTTGCTTCTAGTGCCTCAAATTCCTTATTCATGGCTTCTTGCAATTCTGGAATTAAAACTGCTTCTTCAAAACTAGAAGGCTCAGAAAGACACGTCATATGATTAAGTAATTGTTTGCTTTGGGGTGATAAAGTTGAGAAACAAACATGAACCGGTGAAGAAGCATTGGTAACATTGTGAGTGCATGTGAATAATGAATAGCAAGATGTGGGATTGTGACATGTGGCATTAGAGCAAATGTAATCTTTTAAATGAGAAGGAGGTCTTGAAATTCTGGTTGTGTGTCTGATAGGTGCTTGTTGAGGAATTGGATTAGGATGAACTGAGATTAAAGGAGGTGTAATATTATCTTGTGAAATACCAGGGGTGGGTAATGATGAAATTGAATCATCATTAGAATCTGTATAGTACAAATCTGTAGATGGGAATAAAGGATCATTGGGGGCTGATTTGTAAGGGAAAATGCTCTCATGAAAAATAATATCTCTGGAAACAATGATTTGTTTAGTGTCCATATTGTAAACTTTGTACCCTTTTTGACCAAAAGGGTATCCAACAAATATGCAGGGAGCTGCCCTTGGTTGGAATTTGTCTCGTTTATGTTGTAATGTACTCACATAACACAAGCAACCAAAAGACTTGAGATTTGAATATGAAGGTTGATGACCATGCAACATAAAGTATGGAGTTTTTCCTTTTAGAACCTGAGAAGGAAATCTGTTGATCAAATAAGTTGCAATGAGGACACAATCACCCTAAAATTTTAAAGGCAACTTTGATTGATACAGTAAAGCTCTAGAAGTTTCCAGAAGGTGCTTATGTTTCCTCTCAACTACCCCATTTTGTTGAGGGGTATATGTACAATTTGTTTGATGAATGATCCCATTTTCTTGAAAAAATTTGATTGCCTCATTGCTAGACCCCAATTCTAAAGCATTATCAGATCTTATAATCTTCATTGTTTTCCCAAATTGGGTTTTTACCATTTCAATAAAACCTTTAAGAACATTAAAAGCATTTCCCTTGATACTTAGCAAATGAGTCCATGTACTTCGGCTAAAATCATCGACAATTGTCAAGAAATAAGATTTTCCATTATAAGTTCTTGTATTGTATGGTCCCCATGTATCAATATGAATTAGATCAAAAGAAGAACTTGTCTTAATAACACTATGACCAAATGGA